AGCCTCCTTGGGTTTTTTGATGATCCAATCGTAACACGTAACACTGACGATTAATCCGATCTCTTCGTTGCATATAGGCGAGTCACAGGCACAGTACAATTTGGTAGGTGTGCCTTATCTTTGGAGATAGTCAAGCGTGGAGTACACACTCACTAATCATATTGTTTGGTTATCGGAAACAACTGTTAGGCCTGTGTGACAGGTTTTAGGACGTACATGATCAATGTATGAAAAATAATTGACAGCTGTGTTTTGACAAACCTGTAAGGCAACTTCGACCAGTGGCTCTCTAGAGTCCGTGAAAACCAAATGATTGTAGGGGAGTGAGGAAGAGACTGGATTGTAGGCACACACAATGTTCAGGAGAGACGTAAAAAGTGGAAGAACATGACGATTATCGGGTCCCGTGAAGAAGGAAATCCATCGGTTAGTGGTCGTTCGGGCCTGTGACTGGTCCAGATACATTGTCTCGGAGAAGCAGACAAGCAGGAGACGGAGAATTTCGGTTCGATTCGAATCATGTTGTACGTTTGGTGGATGTGATTGGGCAAACCCGACACCTGATTCCCAAATGTATTCACAGCTGTCAATGGTATGCATGTCTTCAGGTCCTTCCTGAAATATAAACAGCGTACAACAGATCAGAAACCCGGAGATTGGGATGGTCAGAAAGCAATAATAAGTCAGTACCGTTCAGTGAAATATAACTAAGAATAAAAATGCAAGCGGCCACTTTTGGAAGGTAAGGAAGTAGCTTATGAGCTTGGAATTGGGTGGATCCCAACTAGGATATTGTTCAATGCACAGTGAAAGTAACCCGAACTTATTATGATGACAAAATACATTACTCAGAAGTACTGAATTAACTTTAAAAAAATCACAAAATTATACGGAAAAGACAGCTTTCTGAATAAGCAAATTTTCCACGGGCGATGAGTGGACTTAACAAAAATTACTGCTACCCGAACGTAAACAAAGTTATGAAAGCTTGTTGCCAAGATCCGAAAACACATTCATGACGGGCTAGGTGATACTATACGAAAGACAGCAAAGCGAGCCCCTGAAAACATTGAACTTGTGCAGAACTAGCTGCAGCTACAATTTTTTTGGTTAGTTTCGATCTTGTATGTCTGTTTTTGATAATGCCTGTAGACACGGTGCGCATAGCGGCCCCTCGCATGACTGCCCTCAGAAGCTACTTGTGAACCGCGTACGGTCTGCCGCGTCAAGTCAGGTCAGGTTTATTAAGGGAAATAAAGGCAAAAGCACTTGAAGTCCCTACCGGTACAGAGCAGCTATGAAATACATTGGCTCAATGGAACATTTAAAAAGAGTGGCGATGCCAGTAAATGGAACAGAGTAAAAAGAGCAGACAGTGAAAAAATTCCCTAGACATGGTTCGACAATTCTAGGAAATTGAATGCCAATCGGATAACCTGCCGCTAACAAGCAAACAAATCTGACCTACTAGTACAACGTTAGTTAGGTGCTGATATATTGTTACGGGGCAAGTAAAAACCATCAGGTGAAGTGAGTAAATTCGTAAAAGACACGTACCGGGCCGGGCTTGCTCAGTGAGTGAACAGTAAAGTCGGGACAGAACAGCAAATCCTAAAGCGCAATCATTCATAAAAGCGAAAACTTACACATAACGAGGATACAAGCGTCTGGGCCAAGGGGACACTTGTTGCCTAAATTAAATACTATCATATCAACAATCGGATGCTCACCCCGTCAGGATCGCTATCATCTGCTTGCGGGAGGGCCGACCAAAAAAATGAACGCCACTCTGCGTCCTCAAATATATAAGGAATAATCCTAGTCAAAAGGCGGACGCAGTTAAGAGCTTGAAGTAGACTATATCGATCGACATACCTGTTTGTTGATCCTGGGCGGTTGGAAATGAGGCTTCGGCAATTTGAGCAAGTCGCTCAACCGCTTTGTAGCATAACGTTGCTAAATTACTGGGTGATTCATCCCGAAGAGCCCGAATTTCCGAAGCCGGTACAAGAACAAATATATCACGAATTCTAGTGGGACAATCACTCCAAAACTGGTCCCAGAACTCATCGTTGTTAGCATCTATT